TGTCAGGATGCTGAGAAATGTATAAAGAACAGTGTAGAGAATATGCATACTGATATCAGGGTGTAAAGAGATAAGTGGGTATTTCTTACTAGGGTTTTGAAAATTTCTGTGTGGATAAGTATAACAGATACATGATACTGGTAATATATTGTTATTAGTGAATACATGGATGATTAAAATCATTGAAAATACCTTAATTTCCCTATACTTTAACATATGTATTCAAATGACTATATAAGAATGCAAATCTGTGTACCCTTCTTTAATAACAACACAAATGTTCATGCGATATTCAACCGACTGTATCAGCTTGACAAATGAACACAAATAATAGTTGACATAGGGCTTTTTAGTGTAAATGGGATGAATGAGAGTCTTTTGATGGGTCATTTATCACACACCATTAATAATTTACATTTAGACTGTTTTGAAACTTCGACATTGTATATCTTTGAGGCCTGCCACATTATTACATGAACAACTGAAAGTAGACTTGCCATTTGCTTACACGTGTTTTCGAATCAGTCGCTTTGGTTCTTCAGTATCTATAATACAAGTCCATGTCAGGAGCCATTAATGTGCTCCTGACCATGTCTATGAGGTTTTGAGTGAGGCCTGTAACCAACACACAAGAAATGGGTAGCCTGTGGTATTAAGAGCACCGTCATCATTGTCATCTTTGACATCAATTCCTCCGTTTCCAGGAAACTCAAGATTTGAAATCGAATCTAAACTCAAGACTTAAAGATTTGAAATCCGAGATACAGAAACTTGAGTACATGTATTCCCGCAAAACAAGTTAGCCTGGCTTAGGTATGAAATTCCTAACGGTGCCGAATTGTACTGAAGTGGATTTTACAAGCTGCGTTTGGCCCTATCTTCCGCAATTTTTGCATCGAAGTCCGCTTCTATACAGGTGAGGGAAGCGAGGAAGATTTTCCAATTTGAAATTCAAATTTAGGAATAAAAAGACGAGCTTCGCGTGACCCGTTCCTGAAATACCTTTTGTTTTTGCTTAGGCTGTTGATTCAACGAATTTTGCCGGATGCGGATATTTATACTGTCTTTAATTCTACCTAGTTTCAAAAGTAAAAAATAACAGAAAATCGTTTTACTCGAGTGTAAACCGCTGTTAATCGTGACTGAACTAAAGGTGGTTCGCGATTCTACAAGTTAATTAGTAAAAAACCGATAACCTTAGAACAAGTATAAGTGGTGTAAAGATTTCTATATACGTTAAACGACCAATAAACCCTTAAAATCACGAATAATTCGACTTGGATATCGAGGAAAGTGTTTTAACTCGCGATTGATTCAACTTGGATCAAGCGAACGAATAATTTGACTTGGATCCGATCCAAGTCGAATAATTCGTTCGCTTGATCTTTTGAAGAGTAATTTTTAATAATTCGACGTAGATCAAGCTAGCGAAGGGGCTAGAACTTATCGAATTAGGGGTGACTTTTAAACATTTTTCCAAGTATTCATTGGGCTTAACTGCCCTTCCGCCAAAATGAGACTTTTGACAGTTTAACCATCTCTTTCAGGTACTAGCTTTTAGGAATCCACCAACCAAGATGATGGCACAACACAGACGGAAGTTATGGCCAGACGGTATAATACTTATTTCATGCTTGAGTTAAGATGTTAGGTACCTCGCGTCGTTCACATTAGTACGGTTTTAAAAATTTTTTTTCAATGAGTCTCGGCCATGAAGGTAACAAAGGAATTCTACTTCATCGGGCAGCTGCCCTGGGTTGCAGACGAGATGTGGAACAACTGATTCTCTCTGGTACGAAAGTAGACGTGCAGACAAGGCGCGGACGCACTGCACTTCATTACGTCTCGGAGAATGGGAACGCAGATATTTTAGCGCTGTTAATAAAGTTCGGAGCAAAAGTCGACCTTCCCAACAAGTGGGGAAGGACTGCTCTTCACTATGCAGCCAGTAAATACAGGTTGGATTGCCTGCAGATCCTTCTAAAAGTGGGAGCAGACCCGAATAAACAGGATGTCGACCGTCAGACTCCGCTGTTTCACGCAATAGCTGCCTCAGAAGGGTCACAAAAAGAAGATTGCGCTAGGAAGACTCTTTTGCTTTTGATTTCGGGTGGTGCAAATGTGGACATTCCAGACAAAAGTGGAATTACTCCTCTCCACATAGCAGCCGAACTCGGCGACAGTAAGATCTGCGTCGACTTGATCAAGCAAGGAGGGGCACGTGTGGATGCAAGAGACCAACATGGGGCTACTCCCTTACACTACGCCTCTTACCACCATCGTAGGGCTGTGGTGAAAGCCCTACTCTCGCTTGGGGCTTGCTCTGCTATCCTAGACAACGCGGGCCTCTCGGCAAAATTCTATATGAAGAAACGGAGATACATAACCAATTCAGAAGTGCCGATCTCCCCGGAAAACGTTTTGCTGCAATATCCAAGTAAAGAATCGAGAGAGACGTTGAATGGTCGTGTGGAAAATATGGACAGTCCTTGTTTTGAAAACGTCGTAGATGATTTTGGAAAGTCTCAAGTTGAAAGGTATTTGCATTCCGAAATGAATTATGACCCACTCTTTACCAGTGGTGTGACAGAGAACGCTTCTTTAAGCTCTTTGCTCATCCGATTGAACGAGACTGAGGGTTTGGGACTAGTCGAGCGGACACCGGAAGTGGAGTTAGTCGAACAGGACATCAGGTTTTATATCGAAACTGCTTTAGGAGGCATGGTTCGGGTGCATCCAAAGTTCACTAACAAGCTTGTACAAGCGGGCAGCACTGTGGAAAACACTAAGGTTGGCGAACCCGATGAGGTTGATTATATGTGCATTCTTACAGAACTTTCGAAAGCATGTTATGTTTGCGAGTGTCCCAATGATCCCCCTGGATATTTGAAAATACGTATAAACGATCGAGAGGAAGACTTGTGGAATGATTTCCTGGATGAAGCTGGTTATCTGATTGCAGAGAGGCTACATATCCACTTTCATTCCCTTTTTGACAGACACTCCGAGGAAGCTGACCTCACTGCAATGTCCACTCGATTACACAAGCTTCGAAACTACAATAGCGGCCGGAACAGCGTTGGTGTTACTGTAGATAACTCTCAGACTAAGCCCGGGTCGCGGTTGTTCTTCCTGTGGCGTGGATGTCACTTTAAGTGGATGATAGTAACAGTCGATCTTATTCCTACAATAGAAATCATCGGTTGGCCTAACAGTGCCCTTGTACCTGCAGAAAAAGGATTTGAATACTACCATGTCATACCCAAAGTTTCGCCAACAATTCAGAACAGTCCGTCTGCTTCCCTGTATTGGCGAATTTCGACTTCCATGGCCGAGAAACAGATCATAAGCAAACTAACAAGCCCCGCACGCGCTTGTTATACAATATGCAAGTCTCTCAAGCAATGTCCAGATCTGGACGTGTTATTTCACGAAAATGCAACTCGGGCTAACACTGATGAACTGAATATGCTATCAGAAACTCTACATAAATTACGGTTGTACGATGGGCTTATCAACTCTTATTTGATCAAGATGATCTTTTTACGAGAAATCGAGAATCGTAAAGTGACGTCGGGTTGGAGTTGGCAGACTGTCGGAAATTGGGTGCTACATATACTTGTCAGATTGCTGGAAGAGTTAAAACGAGGCTTTGTTTCGTCGTATTTTCTCCGAAATTATAACGTGTTGAATGTTGAAGGTTTGATCTATTCTGTCAATGAGCATGTACATTCAGTGGACGAGAGTAATCTCGATTCCCAGCGGCAACAAATGCTGCAAAACAACAAGCCGTAATTACCGCTCCGACTTTATGATGTTTATTGACTCCACATTACGTTTTAACTTTGTTCAGATTAACCCTTTAACTCCCACGAGTGACCAAGACAGAATTTCTCCTTACCAAATGAAAATGATTTTAAAAAAAATAATAAAATAAAATTTACTTGATCCTCCTCTTAGGCTCAGTAGTATTCTATTGATTCCCCCTCATTACGGAAGTCAGTTTTCTATAGAGCCCCCATCATACTCTAATATAATTGGCCAATATATATTTCCGTTTTAACGATTAAAGAAAAATTACATCAAAAACTGTCTTCTCTGCATGGCTAAATTGTATCGCTTTGATGTGATGGAGTAACGGAACCAGCGCTTGGTGATTCGTGATCTTGGTCTGTCTGATCTTGGTCTGTTATGTTAAGTTATTTTTTCTGTAAACAGTGTGAATTAATAAACGTTTGAGCTCGTTATCCATTCGCACGCACTACGTACCTATATTTACTTCCTGTTTAAAGAAAGCCTGGGAACCAACCACACACATGTAGAGTCTAATCCAAGATGGCGTCTCAAGATACTTGGTAAGGTAGAAGTACTTTCGCTATTTTTCCAACAAATATCTCCTTTAAAAACTTACTTGTGATAGCTGTTTGATACAAAACCTTTTTTGTACATATTGTGAGGATATCTTGGTTATCTGAGGTACTAAGACTACAATGGCTCACTTATTTATCCTGAATTATGTCCCATTCTGAACGGAAGTTCCTTCATTTTTCTCGACTGTGTTTAGCTTTACACCACCGTTTTGAGGTTTGCAACATGATCAAAAAATGTATTGTCTTTGAAGCGATCTTCAAAAGACACTGGATGCTATACTAGTGCTCTTTTAGTCGTTGGTAAGAATTTTGTTACAGATTTTCGATACTATCAACTCAATTCAGTAGAAAGTTGGATCATGTGATCGCGTAAGTTCTATTTTCATTTTAAACTTCCTTTACAGTGCTATGCCACAATTCCTAAGGATGTTTTGAAAAGACTGCTGGTTTTTTTATTTGTGTTCAGCCATAAAGGTCTTCAAACTTAGTGGTTTACTTCTTTTCTTTACAATTTTACACGTTACACTTATTTTTAATTTTCTTACATATTACAAGATATTCCTTTGACCCACGGATAGCAAATGCTAATCGAGGCGGGCCAAATTTGTATATTTATTTATTTTATTTTTTACTGACTTAATTTAATTACACTGGAAATAAAACGGAAATGAAAAAATATAACATAAAA